AACCCACCAGCCACTCCTCGGAAGGAAAGTTGGGCAATCTATTTCCATAGCGATACTGCCTCGGAAACCCAAGGAGGGGTGGCTATGAGTTGGATCCGACTCGAAGGCAATGAGTTTGGTTTGTTATACATACACACACACTTAATAACAGAATAAGAAAGTATGCCCTTCTAGAATATAACCATGTGTGATTATTGTGCTGTGGAATCTTCTAAATGTCAAGGAACTCAATGTCTCCCCTTTCCACTTCTCCTTTTTTAAAGCCGAAAAATATGTACATTCTGACTTCTTTCCCTTTTCCAATTCATTAATTCATGGTAAATGAACTCGAACAATTTTTTTCTTCAATACTTTTACATTTATCAAAAAATACACATACCTCATCTACGAAGTTAATAGCATCAAACCAATCTTGAAGAGCTTCAAGGCAATATCTAACAACATTTCGGGTATATTCTTGAGTATCCTAGAATAAGAAGTGACATAAATTTTATAATCTATAAATAAGTATTTTTTTCAACTTCAGATTATATGTAACACAAAAGAATATATTACACACATTGCACGTGAGTGTGAGTGTGAGTGTGTGTGTGTGTGATGCTGAGGATGAAAGAGATGGTTAAAAAGTCCTCAATCTTTAAACTTTCAGCCAAGGCTCATTAGGCTACTAGAGAAGTGGTCCTCTATTGCAGTAAAATCCATATTCAATAAAGGGCCCCCAGCAAAAAATTAAAATAAAGCATGTAACAATGAGGCTTCCCACCTGGCTATCTGTCCTTGCCCCCTAATCTCTGCCCATAACTCCAAGAGGATAGCAAATACATGAAAAATAAAGCAATAGTTAGGGTGAACAGGTTGGATTAGCCTAAAAAGTCCTTCAGAGTCAGCAGCTTTACTTAAGTAAGAAAGCACCTAGCTCCCCTAACTGACATCTGAGCTCCTTGTTATTTACAGAGAAGCATGGAGAAGAGGGAGACACCAAAGCATTCCTGAAGCAGGAGCTAACGGCAAGCTTATGGAAGGCCTGCCTTACTACTGTAGGCCAAATTACCTATAGTCACCTGATATGAGGCTGAGTCCTGTCCCAGTAAAAGTAGCTATGCAGGTAGTACCCACTATGCTACCTTAAAATGTTAATTTGTCAGCCCATTTTGGGATAAAAATCAATCAATATAACACACCATATTAGAATGGGGGGGGGGATACATGATCATTTCAATAGATACAGAAAAAGAATTTGGCAAAATCCAACATCTTTCATGATAAAAACACTCAGACTAGAAATTGAAGGGAATTTCCACCACTGTATAATTGGCATCTATTAAAAACTCACAGCTAACATGTTTAATAGTGGAAGACTAAAAGTGAAAGACTAAAAATTCCACCTACGATCAGGAACAAGATAAGGATGCTCACTCTCACCACTTATCTTCAACACTATACCAGAAGCTCTAGTCAGGGCAATTAGACCAAAAAAA